GGACCCAGACACTTACCCCGTCTCTGGTCACAGACACCATGGACTTCTCTGGCATGTCCCTCATCAAGCTGAAGAAGCAGGAGATGGAGACCCAGGTAGGTGCCTGTGCCAACCCCAGAGCCACCCCACTTCCTGGTGCTTGGGCAGCCTCTAGGCCTGTCCCTCCCCTGGGGCCGAGCTCCCAGAGGGCTCTGCTGAGCAGTGCTCGCTGGCAGGTGCGGGTCCTGGAGCTGGAGAAGACGCTGGAGGCGGAGCGCGTGCGGCTGGGGGAGCTTCGGAAGCAGCACTACGCACTGGCCGTGGGGGTGGGGACGCCTGCAGAGGAGGAGCCCGGCCCGCCCAGCGCTGCCCCCCACAGCGGGACCTCCAGGAAGCCACCCCTGGCCCAGAAGCCCAGTGTGGCCCCCAGGCAGGACCACCAGGTAGGACCACCAGGTGCCAGGCACAGTGCTGGGATGGGGAGGGGCCCTAGAGGGTGCTGCCAGCCTCTCGCTCCCAGGTCTGCGGGACACGGGGCTTTGGGAAGGTCAGAAACCCTGACCAGCAGGAGCAAAATGCTGACCCAGCAACATGGGGAGCTCGGCTCACTCAAGGGGAAGACGTAGGGGGCTGAGGAGACAAGGACGCAGGGGGCCTGGCTGGTTATGCACCCCTTGCAATGTCAGTGAGCACCTCACCTTTGACCCCTGCAGCAGGACAAAAAGGATGGCGTCTGCCCTGCTCAACTCATGAACTCCTAGGCTCTGAGGGGTCCAGCGGGAGCCTGGCAGGCGGCCTGGGCCTCACGTGGCCACCGTGACTCGGCTAAGGAGGCATTGAGGGGCGCTGCGCGCACACCAGGTGGCGGGCCTGCCCACGGCCTGGATCAGTGTCCGTGAGGCCCAGCCCTTGCTGAGCCCCTGGATCTGGGCCGAGCGGGGCTGACGGGGCAGTTCTCCTGGATGTGAGTTACCTACCTGCCCCGGGACCGAGAGCATCCAGGCTCAGCAGGCTGGCGCCACGGTTCAGGAAATACACAGACATTTGTATGTTCCCAGCTAGAGCTTTTCCTTGTGAGTTTGTACTCGGCGCGCTGGGAGCAGGGCCATGGGGGTGGGGTGGGCAGGGCCTCTCCTGCCTCTTGGACTCGAGGTCTGAGGTGAGAGGTGAGCAGAACACAGTGCTGGCTGTCGGGACTGCGTGAGTCTCCCTGGGTTTTGGTCTCTGGGACACTGATTCCATGGAGATGGGACTGAGGCAAAGCACGTCTGGGACAGCGCCCTTTCTCCTCGGGCCTCGCTCTCCGGCACCAGTGATGGGGGTGCTGAGGAGGACGTGGTCGGCGGGGAGAGGCGGGCCGGGTTCTGCCGTGGGCCAGGCAGGGCTGACAGCCCCATGCCTGCTGGGCAAGGTGCTGCCCACGCTCCTGGAGTCTGTTCCCGCTGAAATCCGGTGGCCGCCCGCTTCCTGTTTTTCATTCCTATCTGGCTGCCCCTGCCCTGGAGGCCCAGCTCTGGGCTCTCCCCACTGCCCACCTCCACCTCCCGGGCCACGAGGTTTCCAGCTCAGCCAGGAAGAGCCCAGAACCATCGCCCTGCTGCTATCCTCCGGACCAAGGGAGCCTCATGCTCCACAGAAGAGGGGAGCCCCACTCCGCCCGGTGCTGAAGCCCAGCGTGGCCGCCCTGCCCACGGAAGGAGGACTCGAAAGGACTGCATTGCTGCGACCCCCTTGGGGAGTGGTGGGGTGGGGTGGGGCCCTGGCTGGGGGGAAGGGACCGGCCCTGCGAGGACCACCCGCTGTGTCCAGTACCCACTGTGTCGGGATGAGCACAAGGATCCAGTTCTGGGCTTAGAGTTCAGTGTTTCCTTGGATTGGGGTCCAATTGGCAATAAAATGCACTTTGACTGTGGTCACTGTTGCCCCAGAAAGGGGCTGTGCCCGGACTGTTTATTTCTCGGGGGCCAGGAGCTGGGTTGGGACTCGCTTAGTTTCTGCAGGTGACACGGCATTGCAACCACAGCAACCCTGGCTGGTGCTGCTGCTTCTGCCAGGTGTCACTGAGGTGGTTTCGCCGGGAAGTTTACAAGTGGAGGCCCGGACGCCTGTGTGGTGAGTGGTGGTTTAGGGCTTTTCTCCATGGCCCCCAGGCCACATCCAAGGCAGGTCCCCAGCCCCCATGGCTCTTGATCCCCTTCCCCCAGCACACAGCTGGTTCCCAGGAGGGCACTGGGGAGAGGGAAGGCTCCTGGCCGCCTGCCTTGGCCTTAGATCAAGCATCTGGAACAGAAGGACAGTGCAGGTCGGGGAAGGGGGTGGAGGAAAGGTCAAGGTGGCTCCTGCCCAGCTGGCAGAGCTCCCACCGTGTGTCCTCAGACAGGCATCCACTCCTGTCCCCAGGGTGACTGAGGTCCAGGTGGGTCAGAGCTTTGGAAACTGGCCTCCGTAAACAGGGAGGGGCCCCTGCCTGTGCTTTTGTAGGATTGTTTTCCTTTGGCAAAAAAAAAAAAAAATTTACTGAGCACCTTTGCTGTGCCAAACAGCATGCCAGGTACTGGAGATACAGCAGCAAAGCAAAGACCTCCATCTCACGGAGCTTGTCTGGCAAGGAGGGGAGGGTACCCTGGTGAGGGGACGTTTCTGAGGGTGTGCATACGGCCGCTCACTGGACAGCTGTGGATTCGTGTGAATCCCCATTGTGCCTCTTCCAGCCTCGTGTCCGGAAGGGAGACGGGGCGTCTCTCTTCCTGTATAAGATGCAGACCCTCACAGCACCCACTGGGTGGGAGTGCTGAGGGCTTGGAGATAATGCGTGTAACTGCTTATGGCTGCCTGGCACACATGGCGCCCTCAGGAGGTGTTAGCAAGACGAGCAGTAACAGAGACAAACGTGTTTTCAAATGGAATGAATGAAAAAGTTACTTTAATGGAAGAATTGCTCTGTCCTGTTGCCATGTTGTATTCATAGCACTTCTCTCTAGAAAGCGTATTACTGATTTGTTCATTGACATGATTGTTGTCCGTTTACTTTGCAAGAACTGGAGTCCATGAAGGCGGTCTTTTGTGGTGGTTTTAATGTGCCTAGGTATCTTGACAAGCACCTGCCTGATCAGTACTGTATCTTCATTGAACTTATTGGAGTGATTGGCTAATGAAATTGTATAGGTTTCGGTGTGTAACTGTATAATACACCATTTGTATATTGTGTTGTGTTCACCACCCCAAGTCGAGTTTCCTCCCATCACCATCCCCCTTTACCCCTTATCTCCTCCCCTCACCTTTCATCTGTAATCACCATATTGTTGTCTGTGTCTATGAGGGTTTTTTTTTTTCCTTCTTGCCTAATCCCTTCACCTTTATCACCCAGCCCCCAACTCCCTGCCCCTCTGACAGCTGTCAGTCTGTTCTCTGTATCTATGAGTGTTTCTTTTCTGTTAGTTCATTTTGGTCATTAGATTCCACATGAGTGAAATCACATGGTGCTTGTCTTTCTCTGACTGGCTTATGTCACTTAGCGTAATACTCTCTAGGCCAGTCGTGGGCAAACTACGGCCCGAGGGCCGGATCCGGCCCGTTTAAAATGAATAAAACTAAAGGAAAAAAAAAGACCGTGCCCTTTTATGTAATGACGTTTACTTTGAATTTATATTAGTTCACACAAACACTCCATCCATGCTTTTGTTCCGGCCTCCGGTCCGGTCCAGTTTAAGAACCCATTGTGGCCCTCGAGTCAAAAAGTTTGCCCACCCCTGGGCTAGGCCCATCCACACTGTCGCAAAAGGTAAGATTTTTTTCTTTTTCACGGCCAATGCCTGTTCTTATTCATAAGGGAACACAGCTTGAGAAGACTAAAGCGGATTGTTCTCTCACCCAGTGAACATCAGTGCAAGTCGACTACACTTGAACTGGAGACCCCGAATGAGAAGCCTTGGGTCAGGTACTGTCCCGCCCGACCCCCTCTCCCTTCTCGTGAGCCAAGGAGCTCAGTGGGCAGGAGAGGATCACAGAAGGCTGGGTGAGGAGCCACACCCATGCCCCGGCCAGGGCCTGCAGTGGGGTGGACTGGATTCTGCCTGTAAGCTTAGAGCCACTGGGAAAGAGAAACTATTAGATACAAATTCTCTTTAAAAAAGTAATTGCTTTCTCAGGAAAACCCCAGCGCACTGTGCTACAGAAATGATGGCGTCGGTTTAGGAGCCGGTGGTGGGTGAGCTTGTTCAGGCTGCTGTGAGTGCTCCTTGTGCACCCACCCACTGAGGACAGTCCCTCCCAGGGCGTCAGGCTCGTCCGCAGACGGACAGCGGGCAGAGGGTCCCAGGCTTGGCTCAGCCCGGGGGGCTGGGGAGGTCCCCAGAGCAGAATGTCAGCCACTGACTGTCATTTGAAACAAGCAGG